GCACGCGCGCGCAGCGGCCAGCAAGTTTGGCGCAACCGCCGACGCGGCCGCGGTGGCGCTGACCGCTGGGCACATCACAGCGGGCACTTCACTGCGAGTCGGCGACTTGGGCGGGCGCGGTATCAGGGCAACGTCGACAACGGTAGACACGATGATGATAGTAGCGATGCTGGTGGCGATGTTGACAACGACAACGGCGCGGCCAATGACGGCGACGATGCTGATCACGCCGACGACGATGACGGCGTCTTCTCGTCGGTGATGAAGGTTTTGGAACGACTTCAACATGCGCGCGCGGCCGACGCGCGACAGTGGCCCGCGTGGTATTTTTGACAAGGATCGGGCCCCCCAGAACGCGCGCAAGGGCGCGCGAATGACTTCGGCATGCGGCGCGAAAGGCCAATTTGGCAGAATTGCATGAACATGTCCAAAAACCTGTGACTTTCTCTAGAATTCCAAAGAGCGCGAGCGCAGGCTTGTTTGAAAACTGATGTTGCGAAACTATGTGTTTTTTTACAAGTGTGTTTGGACACTCGGTTTTTGAAATCGCTACGAAACCAAAAGGTGTTTGACGGATTCCGGCATGCGCGCGCAAAGACGCGCGCGTTCGCACTTCGTCCCGTTTTTGTTGCAAAGCCTTCTCGCGACAGCATGCGCGCAAGGGCGTTGGAACGATGTCGACGTGCGCGCGCACGCGCAAAGCTAGTTTGGTTGCTCTTTATGAAAATGTTGAAAAACCTACGGTTTTCTTCACAATCGCAAGAGCGCGAGCGCAATCTTTTTTGAAATTCCGTGTTGCGAAACCTTATGTCTTTATATGTTTGTTGGACACTCGATTCCAGCAGCCTTACGAAACCGAAAATGCTTGAATGATTTCGACATGCGCGCGACGACGCGCGCATGTACACTTCGTTCATTTCTGCTGCAAGGGATTATTGAAAACTGCTGATTTATGATGAACAAGTGCGCGCTAAGTATTTGTTGCAAAGGATGGCGGGGGGGGGGCGATACCGGACCCCCTGGGATGGCGCGAACCCATGTATAGGATGGGCGATGGGGCAGAATCATATAAATTGCAATACGAAAAAAAGAAGAGGAATAATCCCAGGGGGCATTGAGTCGATTCTGTTTGAAGAAAAAAGAATGTAGGTTTTGCAGTCTGTGTAATGCAATATATACATATACGGTGCGATCTACGGTGTACGATATATGCGGTGCGATCTATGCAGTGCATGTGTGCGAGGCCGCTACATGGCGGCGACGGGGCGGCGACGGCGGCAACATAACCGCCAGACCGACGCACCAGACAAGACGACGGGCGGCGACGAGGTGCCGACGGGGCGGCGACGGCGGCAACATAGCCGCCGGATCGATAGACAGGCCCAGACGACGGGCGGCGACGGGGTGCCGACGGGGCGGCGACGGCGGCAACAGAGCCGCCAGACTGACGCACCAGCCCAGACGACGGGCGGCGACGAGGTGCCGACGGGGCGGCGACGGCGGCAACATAGCCACCAGTAGACAGACAGGCCCAGGCGACTGGCGCGACGGGGCGGCGACGGGGCGGCGACGGCGGTAACATAGCCACCAGACCGACAGACAGAGGCTCAGCTCCTTAGAGGAACGACCCCTAAGTTCAAACAGTGTTTGGGGCATGGGTACATATATACATAGAAAGCGGATCTTTATTGATTTCGGGCCTGGCGGGCGGGCTGTGTCTGGAGCGCCCCTGGAGGGCCCCAGGCGGCCACAGAGTGCCCCAGGAGGGCCCTAAAGATGGGCCAGGCCATGAGGGCTCCAAGAGATATTCCAGACAGTCCTGGAGTCCCGAGTCGCCGAGTGATCGGTCGGAGACGCTCCAGATGGCCTCTAGACGGCCCAAGGCCTCCGCGAGCTTTCCCCCAAGCGAGCTCCAGGGGCCAAACATCGTCACATTCTTATGCGGAAACGTGCATGGCTTGCATATGCGACGTTTCGGCCTTCACGGCGTCCGGGACGGCCCAAGAAGCTTCCCAGATCAGGGCCCCGAAGAGGGCCCCGAGACGCTCCAAGAGGGCTCAAGACGGCCCAAGAAGCGCCCAAGACGGCTCCAGAGGGCCCCAAGAGAGGTCCAAGAGGGGTCGAAGAAGGGGCACTCGAATTGAGATTTCGAGACCTCCGCCCCAAGGGGGCCCCCGAGACCGCCAGCAGGCCCCCAAGACGTGCAAAGAGGCTCCTGAGAGCCCCCCAAAAAAAGGATCTAAAAGGCACCCAAACGGCCCCCAAGAGGCCCCAAGAGGCCTCCAGAACCGAAGAACAAAATAGTACCGTGCTGGTCGGAAACTCATGTTCTATACCGTAGCACATCGCAGATGCAGATAAGAGTGAGGGGGCGGTGGGGACGTCGGCAGTTCTGGAGGAAGCCCGCCGCAGGCGTCGACTTTCTCGTTAAACAAATGTGGGTAGGTCGCGGGTGGGTCGCGGGTGGGTCACAAATGGGTCGCGGGTTGGTCGCGGGTGGGTCGCGGGTGGTCGCTGTTGGGTCGCGGGTGGGTCGCGGGTGGGTCGCGGGTGAGGAGGGTAGAAATCCACCCATAAAAATCACCCCGACAAGCAAAGCCGCTTAGTAAACGCACACAAGGAAATAATGAATCGAACAGGGCAGGGATGTTTAGTAAACGCCCAGGGCCGTTTCGTAAACGTCAATTATCGGGTCCCCGTGGTTTCTCCTCCCTTGAGGGTGGGTCGCGAGGTGGGTCACGGGTGGGTCGCGGGGTGGGTCGCGGGTGGGTCGCGGATGGGTCGCGGATGGGTGGCGGGGTGGGTCGCGGGGTGGGTCGCGGAGTGGGTCGCGGGTCGGGTCGCGGTTGGGTCGCCGGGTGGGTCACCGGGTGGGTCGCGGGGTGAGTCACGGGTGGGTCGCGGGTTGGGTCGCGGTTGGGTCGCCGGATGGGTTGCGGGGTGGGTCGCGGGGTGGGTCGCGGGGTGGGTCGCGGGTGGGTCGCGGGTGGGACGACGACAACAAACAACAACAACAACAACAACAACAACAACAACAACAACAACAACAACAACAACAACAACAACAACAACAACAACAACATCAACAACAACAACAACAACAGCAACAACAAACAAACAAACAAACAAACAAACAAACAAACAAAAACAACAACAACCACAACAACAACAGCTGCAGCAATAACAACAACAATCACAACAACAATGACAACAACAACCAACAATAATATGAATGTCAAGACTGTTCGCTCTTATCTGCTCGAGTGTCTGTTAACGCGTATTTCCCAAACCCTCGATACCCGCCCTCTTCGTCTTCGATCGTACTCCTTCTGGCGGGTATACCTTTCTTCCCTGCTGGCTGGGTCCCGGCAAGCGGCGGGGCGGCCGCGAACCGTCGGCCTGGCAAGCGGCAGTGCTGACCGGCGGCAACCCGACCCCAAGAGGGACGGACAGGGGACCGACCACGACGACGACAACGACGACGTCGACGACGACGACGACGACGGCGACGACGACAACGACGACGACGAGCGAAAGCGAGAGCGAGAGAGAGAACGACAGCAGGGCCACGAAGGGCACGAAGTAGGCCACGAAGGGCAGCAGCGGGGACGCGAAGGGAATGCGTATGGGGCCACGAAAAGCGCGAACGAGCGGGGGCCACGAAGGGCAGATAATTGGGGGCCACAGAAGGCAACGACGGGGCCACTGAGGGTAGCAACTGGGCCACGTAGGACAGCGAGGGGGCCACAAAGGGCGACAGCGGGGCAACGAAAGGCATGCATGTGGGGCCACGACGGGCGCGAACGAGCAGGGGCCACGAAGGGCATACGTACATTGGGCCGCGGAGGGCAAGGACGGGGCGACGAAGGGCAGCAACAGGGCCACGAAGGGCAGCGAGGGGGCCACGAAGGGCGACAGCGGAGCCGCGAAGGGCATGCATATGGGGCCACGACGAGCGCGAACGAGCGGGGGCCCCGAAGGGCATACATAGATGGGGCCACAAAGGGCAGCAAGGGGGCCACGAGGGGCTGCAACAGGGCCACGAAGGGCAGCGAGGGGGCCACGAAGGGCTGCAACGGGGCCACGAAGGGCTACAACGGGGCCACGAAGGGCAGCGAGGGGGCCACGAAGGGCTGCAAGGGGGCCACGAAGGGCAGCGAGGGGTCCACGAAGGGCTGCAACGTGGCCACCCCGTCGTGGCCGTCTGGTGGCGCCAGTCGGGCCCTCCGGTTGAGGGAAACAATTAGTGAACACGCCCCGTGCCCCCCAAACTCAAAGATGGCACGCGCGGGGGAGACTGCGGTCGAGGTGCAACTCATCAGACCCACCGCCAACTTTGAACATTGGGGGGAGGGGGACGCGTTGACAGATGAATGTGGCATGAGTGTTCGCTATTTTTTCCGAGGCCTGTCCTGAGGCCTCCTGGGGCCATCTGGGGCTGTCTTGTGGCCATCTGGGGCCGTCTTGGGCCCTCCTGGGACGCTCCGGAATCAGGCTCCCTGGAAGGACCAGGAATTGTGCCAGGTCAGTTTTCTATGTATATAGATACCCATTGTATTGGTATAACTATAGTTGTGCGTCTGCAGATGTACTATCTGTATGTGTATATATATACACAGACATATGTATACATACAGACATACATACATACACACAGACACATACAACATACATACATACACACAGACACATACATACATACATACATGCATGCATGCATGCATGCATGCATACATACATACATACATACATACATACATACATACATACATACATACATAAATACATACATACATACATAGATACATACATCATTATGTGTATGTGTGCAAATATACATACATCAACACCTACATGCGCGCGTGTGAATATATATATATATATATATATATATACATATATATATATGTGTGTGTATTTAAAAATACATGTTTCTATTGATATTTGTAGACAGAGAGAGCGAGAGAGAGAGAGAGAGAGAGAGATTGATGGCGAGGCGCCTCCGCGACCAGCCCCTTCAGCGGCGCCAGCAGCAGCATCGCGCCGACCACGCCGAGCGCGGCCGCCATCCAGCCGAGCGCAAGCGCGAGCTCCGCTCCAACGTCCTATAGGCAACCACACCCAGGCCCCCTCGCGCCGTGAAAATTACGCTACCGAGGAACCCCACATACTCATTTCAGGTCTTGCGACGTCCTTTCTTACAGAACCCGAACCGGACGAGCCAGCCAGGGCAACCAACCAGACCGACCATCCTGCCAGAACAGTCAAAAACGATTAAGGATCATGTCAAGACGCGCGAGGTAGCCAGACCAACCAACCAGATCAAACAGAACAACTAGACCAGCCAGTCTAGCCAAAGACGCCCGAAGATCGTTCGAAGACGCACGAGGCAACTAGGCCAACATACCAGATAAACCAGACCAACCAGACGACCCCACAGACGCTCGAAGATCGCCCTAAGACGCCCACGGTACCCGCTACGACCTCAACAACAACAACAACAACAACAACAACAACAACAACAACACAACAACAACAACAACAACAACAACAACAACAACTACTACTACTACTACTACTACTACTACTACTTCTACTTCTACTTATACTGCACTTGCTACTACGAATACCACTACTACGGCTACTACTGCTACGACTACTACTACTACTACTACTACTACTACTACTACTACTACTACTACTACAACTACTACTACTACT